TTACAGGAGACTTGATTATATATGGGATCCCAGGTCCAAGGAGAGATCCCCCAGATTGTTCTCTGGACAGAGGAGAGGGTGCCTGAATCGGCCGTGGCCCATAACCATACTGATGTATATTTTGCTTATCACCATAGAGTCTTCATCTGGCGAAGGACGGCGATACAGTCGGAGACCCACGTTGGAGCACCGGACTGAGCCCCCCGAGGTCCAGATGAGGAGCAGAAGGAGGAAGAACATGAAAAACGAAATCAGTACTGCGAGGGATGCTATCACCCACTGATACAAGGGAACGGATCTAATGAGACTTTACCAAGGCCAGTTGGACTGGGACTGAACGAGGACGTGATCTAACCAGATTCTCGGAATTTGGCCAGATTCTCTGAATGTGGCTGGCCCGGAGTCTTTCTGAAAAGCCATTGACTATGATACTGGGACCTGTTTTCTCTGCATATGCTGGATTTTGGGGATCCAGTCTGTTTGGATGCTCGCCTTCCTGGACCTGGAGGGAGGGGGGAGGGGCTTGGACTTCCCACAGGGCAGGAAACCCTGACTGCCCTGGGGGACGGAGAGGGAGGAGGAGGGGGAGTGGGGGGAGTGGGAGGGTGTTGGGAGGAGGGGCGGAAATGGAAACTTTTATAATTTAATAAAATTTACTTTAAAAAAAAACAAATAAATATAATTCTGACTTCAAAAGCAAAAAAAAAATCAGTGCTTCTCAGACACTGATGCAACTTGCTTTCTGTCTAATTAACACGTCTTCAATACTAAGTAATCAATAAGGGAACTTGCTGAATGAAATAGATTGACTGTGTTCAGTATTTTACAGCGCCATGTCTGAGCATCCACCATCAACCTGAGTAACACTGAACAAGCAGGCTACCAAATGATAATTAACTGTCTTCCTAAAGTCACAACTCAATGGGGGCAGGGTTGGAAATGGCCCAAGACTCTCGGGACTCAACAAACGCTGCATCTCGCCTCCCTGAGGGACGCGTGCATAAACCGCCGTTTCCCTGATGTTAAAAATAACTCGGAGAGGTGGCTGGATGCCAGACACACAACCTCTGAGTCACTGCAGCCAGATGGAGAGCCCAGGAGATCGCTCACACCTGAAAAGGACTGCTGAATTACAAGCGCCGGAGGTGGAAGTCTAGGTCGAATGTGGGACAGTCTCAGTGGGCCCCCAAGAGTATCAGTTGTACCCACAGTGTTCTCAGTAGCACCAGGCTCTGGGCTGGATTTCCCGGGGGAGCTGTGCCAGGCGATCTTGGCCGATACCAACAGGTTGTTGTAGCAGTTAGGATTCCAAGAAGAGAACAGGACCCACCCACAGTTTGAACAGCCTCTACCAAGCTTGCTTTATCGGTAGGAAAACCTGATGCAGGGATAAAATCAATTATTTACTGTTGACACCTGATACTGTGGGAGAGCGATCAAGTCGACAGGAACCAGTCACGAGATACTGCCGCACACTGACTGCAGAATAAGATGTAGCCTGCAAAATGGCTGATCTTTACAGACACTTTGAAGGCTTTTTGACCATGAATACAAATTTGATTTTCTGAGTTATGGTAAATTTAGAGATGAATGCAAAATAGCCAGAGTGAGGGAAGAAAGGAAAATTTTAAAAACACACACACACACACACACACACACACACAAACCATTTTAGGGTCTGGTCAACACACAGGAAAAATACAGTATCCACTATTGTGGAGGGGCCACCCTCTAAAGATACTGGTACTGCTCAGGTGCTATTTGGTGGTACTACAAGAGGTCCTGGAGTTAGGGGGACAACTGGTGTTCCTAACCCCCAGACTGTTGCTGGATCACCTGGCTCTGTCCAAGTGGCTGGAGTCCAGCCCAGTCACTAATGACTGCACAAGTGAGAGACACCGCAGCAGCCGCTGCTACTGCTGTTCCTGCCAGCATTGCTTGATCCCCCAGCACAGGGTGATGGGTACTCCATCCCCACCTCCAGGAACTGCAGCTCCTCTACCCGGCTTGAGACAACCCTTAGGCCCAGCAATTGACCTGTTCCTGATCAAGGAACTCTGATATACAGACCTCTCTTCATCAATGAATGCCCTCCACCAGAAATTAGAGGTCCACTTTCCCCAGGAAAGCATGCACTAAGACTCTATAATGTTGCAAGAAAGATGATTCTCTTTCCCCTATATTGTATCTCATGAAATTGTGTAGCCTGTGAGCTTTGTCCCCTCTCCCTACTAATTACAGCTAATAAAAATACGCAGAGCAATTTAAAAAAAACAAAAACAAAAACAAAAACAAAAAAACAAAACCCTGAGAGTACAAAGACTTTACTCTGAAAACTCCTAAAACAGTCTGGTGAGATGTCCCAGTAGGTGAAGAGCTTGCTGCACAAGCCTGAGACCTTGATTTCAGATCCCTGGCACCACAGAAAAAGCCAAGCCTAATAACCGAGGCCTGTGATTTCAGCACTGGGAAGCAAAGACAGGAGGAACTGAGGGGCTTGCCCAAGCAGCTAACCCAGCTGAGTCAGCAAGCTCCAGGTTCAGGAAGAGACCCTGTCTCAAATAATAAGGTGAAGTTAGAAGAGCCAAAGACAACATCTGGCCTCTTGAGCACAACCCTCCCCCCACACACACACACACCCCACACACACACACACTCGTGGGTACACATGCGTCTGAAAATAAACATTTAAAATGTTTATCTCTTTTTTTAAAGATTTATTTATTTATTATGTATACAATATTCTGCCTATATGTAGGCCTGCATGCCAGAAGAGGGCACCAGATCTCATTCTAGATGATTGTGAGTCACCATGTGGTTGCTGGGAATTGAACTCAGGTTCTCTGAAAGAGCAACCAGTACTGTTAATCACTGAGCCATCTCTCCAGCCCTTAATGTTTATCTCAAATGAATACAAGTGGATTCTAAACAAAAATGAAAGAATTAGCCACATAAGTGATATACATGCTAGGTTTTTAAAGTGGAAACTTCATGTTAACTTTGTATCTTTTTGAAGTGTTTCACTATGTAACCAAGGCTGGTCTCAAACTCACAATTCTCCTCTCTCATGCTCCAGAATCCCGGAATCCACTGGCATGAGCCACTATGATTAAACAGTTCACTTTTTCATATTAAAAACAAATAACTCCGAAAGAGGGTATTTTGAAAGAAATAGGCACTCGGATGCAATTTTCAGTAACAAATCAGCCTGCTCAAGACTTGAGGGAAATGTAGTGTGGTATAGACACACAGGCCTCTTACGCCAGCACCCAAGATCAGCCAAGGCTATATACCCAGGCCTCGTCTGCAGAAAGAATTTTAAATAAAATGTTAATATTATCCCCCCCCCGCCGCCCTTGTTGAGAGAAATAAAAATTGAAGATTTTTATTCAATTAAAAATCTCATGATATACCAATGGCAAGGAAGGCAAGGTCTGGGGGAATATTTCCAGAGAAACTTTTGCAAGCCTTACCTTGCGTGGAAAAGATTCGAGGCAAACTCCAGTCACTCCAGAGTCCTGAGTTGTCCAGCCTCTTGCTCCTCACCTGAACTTCGTAAGAAGATCCAGGAAGCACACCGTGCACCAGCAGGGACGGAGCCGAGACAACTTCAGTAGCCTGTGAAATGGTATGTTGAAACAACAGAGCATCAAGTCGGTGAGGAACGTTTGCCAAAGCTGAGAAGAAACAAGCCTCAACAAACCTCAGAGAAGCAAAGCATTACAGATGTCTGACCACAGAATTGAAACAGAAATCAGTGACCAAATGAAAAAAATGATAAATAGGAATTTAAAGAGCCTGTCGGTCAAACAATTGTGCCGATTAACAAGCATTAACTGAAGACTAACGGCAATGTGGGTTTTAGGGCTTTTGAGAAATGGTGCCAAAGTTCCTGGGAATCTGGCAGCCATGTTTCTTTCTGTCCATTGCATATCTGGTAGGGAACCGTGAGCAGAGGTGCAGAGAGGGCTGCCCGGGTCCTAGAGAGGGAAATTGCCCAAGAAGAAGAGCGTGAGTGATAGTGATGTCCTGACCCAGGTAGCGACATCCTGACCCTGAACTTTAGGCCAGGAGTCAACACAGTTTATAAACCAGAGGTGAAGACATCTGTAGCCAAATCCTGGAGAAAGCAAACTCCAGCTAGGATCTCCCTGTGTGGCATATTCAGTTTCCCAGTAAGGTGTTTCAGCTGAACTGTCTGATCTCTTCGAGACGGTGAGAGAAAGACAGGAGTCAAAGGATAAAAATCATGAAAAGTGTGAAGCGTGCCTAGAGCACGTTCTTGTGGTTTCAGACTCACTAATGAGGAAGCATCTCGCGACAGCCCTCACTCTGTGACTACACACCGACACCAAGGGTTCCTGAATTGCTCTCTAAAAATATGACCTCAGAAAAGAGACACAGTCCCAAGAAGATTCATTTCCACCTGGTATGATGCAGCAGCAGGAAGGCCATTCGTGACCTCCTCCTCCCCACCCACTCCGGGCTTAGACACCATTCCCATCAGAGTTGTATTCACTCACAGCCTCAGCCACACCGGCCTTCTGCACTGCTCTTTCAGGTACCCAGTCTCTCGGATCCCTACAGAGACAGCTCCTCCAAATCATTGCTCAAATATCAGCCTCCCAGTGAAGCATGCCCAACCGCCCTTAGTATGACAATCTTTCCTCATCCCCCTTTGACCCCAACGTATCTTGCTGCATCTAGAATAGCCCCTGGCAACAAACAGGCACTCAAAACACACATCAACATAAGCAAAAGCGGGTGCTGATTGACATCACGCTGGTTGCAAAAGCGGGTGCTGATTGACATCATGCTGGTTGACGTCACAGACGCCGCAAACACTGTGTGTAAACACGCTGAGCCACAGAAACGGGAGGATGCAATGTACATCCGCACTCTACCGATGAAAACGGTTATAACTATAAGTTAAAATTCCATAACTGGACTTTCTGTAGTATGTATAAATTATCTCAATATGTAATGTTCAATATAATTCAGTCCTCACTAGGAAGCACAGGCATTTTTAGCAGGCAAAGGTAATTTCTACAAGACTTAGGGAATCTTTAATCGCTTCTCAAAGTTTCACTTTCTTTACCAAAATAAACTTACCTCTCTTGTAACTGTAGAATTCTCTGAATATTTCACTTGATACTGAAGTGGAAACGGGGCCTCCGTTGGGCTGTCCCAAGAAATCTTTAAATTACCATCATCTGTGATTTCCATATGCAAACCTATCGGTGGATCAGGCTTCACTTAAGGGGAAACGGGGGGAAAAAAAAAGACTTTTAAATCAGGCAGTTTTCACAGCAACCATATCCAAGTAAAATGAGGTTGAAATGAATTGCCAGCATAGCTTGCCTTTCAGATACTTAAAAAAATTAAATCGCTTGAGGGCTAATTACAGAGTTAAAGCAGAGATGCATGGTGGGCCCTTCCTCTGTACCATACTTAGCACAGCAAACCACTGTCTTGGTTTCTTTCCCCTGTGTGGGAAAGACTATAAACTAGTAAGTGGTTTTGATAAATGTGATTTCCTTCTATAAAAAGTCTGCCTAAGTTCACTTTGCCTGGTAATTTTCAAACTTACTTGGAGCCTCTGCCTAGATGCAGTCACTGTACCTGATTTCATGAGGCCAACAGCAGAATGCAGAACACTGTTCAGAAAACCTGGGTAAAAGTCAGCATATCTGTCCATGTAAAACACCAATCCAAACACACCCATTCAGCTCAGAACAAACACTCCCATGTAATAAATGGACCATTATAAGGCCCTGACTGTATCTCGACATAGGAGTGGGGTCTCTTAGCTTAATGGGGACTTTATCGAGGTAAATGATTTCTGAGTTTAAAAGTACATGTGATTATTATCTGTATGTGTATATGCATACAGAAGTACTTGGTTATGTCAACCGTTAAGAAAACTTTTCAAATATGTGAAGACAGAATTTAAATATCTTACAGGTAAAGATTACGTTACTAAATTAAGGGTCATAGCATAAAGGAAATTCAAGCAGCCATTAAAAATCACATTGTAGTAGAATATTGAAAATGTTTAACTTCTGAAGTTCAAGCGGTTTATCACAAAGTCATACTTTCATTATTTTATAGAATTTATTTAATTGTATGTGTGTGCTTGTGTGCACAGGCATGCACACACATTCAAGTACCCTAGGAAATGAGAAGGTGACATTGGACCCCCCAGGAGCTAGAGTTACAGGGACTTGTGAGCTGTTGTGTGAGTGCTGGGAACCGAACCTGAGACCTCTGCAAGAGTAAGAGCTTTCAAATGCTGAGTCAGTCTCCAATCTATATCCCCGAGTTGTTAAAAATAGTCAATAGCATATATATTGCAAATTAGAAGTGTGTATAACTGGCAATATATATGTATATATATATATATATGTATATATATATATTTGTTCTTTGAACACCTCTATATTTACAAGGTTTGTACAATTAATAGGAATTTCTGAGCTTGTAGAAATTACTATTACAATAACATATTTGCTGGTTTGAATTGTATTTTCAACCAAAATTGATTTAGTTCTCATGCATCCCATCTGTTCAGAAGTTTAGAGAAAGTTTTGGCTTTTTTTTTTGTCTTTTCATTTATTCAAACCTACTGACACTTATTTTTGTGACTTATTACAAGTTTTGGTTATTGTAAGCAGGGTGACTAAACACTGAACACCACATAAATTTTACTGGATTCACAGGACCAAAAATAACACAAAAATTAAAAAAAAAAACAAAAGAAAGAGTACTGCAATTATACACAATTGCGAGCGAGATCACATTTCCTGTCTTCTATCATTATACGCTCATTTTAAAATATATTACAAACATTTTCCCCTGGCTCTCCTATATCCAGCCCAGCACATGCTGTCACATCACCCTCTCTGCCAGAGAAATGTCTTCAACAGCCCTGGGGAGACCTTCATTCCACCTAACCAGCCCACACTGGTCAGCTCCGCCTCTCCATCACAAAGTCTGTCTACTACTGTCTGGTAATTCTGATGTCACTTTACAATTAAGTTTGTTCTGCCCTTCAGCACAGCGTTCCACACAGCTACGTATACCCTTGTTGAAATGGTGTTTTGTTTTGTTTTGTACATGGTTTCTCAAAGAACACAATGTCCTTCATTCTTACTAATACCTGTTAGTTTCTTCCTTCCTGAATCCTGACTGGGTGATCTCACAGAATTTATAGATTCAACTCCCAGATATATATTTCTCCTAAACTTTGGAGTCATATATCCAACTGTCTATTCAGTACCTCATAAGATTCTAATAGTCATCTCAAACACAACATGATCTTGAATTCTGCACATACACCAGTCTCAATATTCCTCTCTGAAGAACTGGTCTTCCATTGATGGAGATTTTCAGAGGCAAACTGAGGGTAAACTTTAGTTCCTTTCTGTCCTTCAGATGTATAAGCAAATCTCATCAGTTCCACACACCTTCATTGCTAGAGCACTAAACTGACTGGCCCATCCCCACCATCTCCTTTCTAGGCTCATTCTCCACAATAGAATAAAATTTGAACCCACAGATATACATCTGATCATATAAGCCCCTCAATTAAAAGTTTCCATTTGAATGGAATAAAATCCAAACTCTATAACACTAGTCTCTGATGTTCTCTGGTCCTTAATACTTCTGACCTAATCTCCTATGAGTTATACTTCATTAAGTCCAAGAATAGGGATTTCCTTGTGTTCCTTATTTAATCACAGAGATATACATATCGGTTTTTCAAGACAGGGTTTCTCTGTATTACATTCCCTAGCTGTCCTGCTATTTGCTCTCTAGACCAGGCTGGCCTTGAACTCACAGAAATCTACCTGCCTCTGCCTCCCAAGTGCTGGGATTAAAGGTGTGCGCCACCACCTGGTCACAGGGATATTTTCATGTGTTCATGTTTGAAACATTTTTCATTCTAGAGTTTCACATAGATACTCTTTATTTAGTTAATACTAAAGAGATTTTTTGACTATTTCTTAGTTAGGATTTCTATCTCTGTGAAGAGACACTGTGACCATGGCAACTCTCAAAAAGGAAAACGTTTAATTGAGTGGCTTAAAGTTCAGAGGCTCATTTCGTTATCATCATGGTGGGACTTGGCAGCATGCAGGCAGACATGGCGCTGGAGAAGAAGCTGAACCTTCTACATCTTGCAGGCAACAGGAAATAGACTTATACAGTGGATATGGTTTAAGAATATATGATACCTAAAATATCTTAGAGTAATTCTAACAATACAAGTGGAAGACTTGTTATGACAAGAACTTTAAAATCTTTGAAGAAAGAAATTGAAGAAGACACCAGAAAGTAGAAAGATTTCCCATGCTCTTGGGTAGGTAGAATTAACATAGCAAAAATGTCAATCTTACCAAAAGCAGTCTACAGATTCAATGCAATGCCCATCAAAATCCCAGCAAAATTCTTCACAAACCTTGAAAGAACAGTACTCAACTTCATATAGAAAAACAAAAAACCCAGGATAGCCAAAACAATCCTGTACAATAAAAGAACTTCTCGAGGTATCACAATTCCTAACTTCAAACTCTACTACAGAGCTACAGGACTGAAAACAGCCTGATACTGGCATCAGAACAGACAGGAGGACCAATGGAGCTGAAAAGAAGACCCAGATATCAATCCACACATCTTCAAACACCCAATTTTTGACAAAGAAGCAAAAAATATCAAATGGAAAAAAGAAAGCATATTTAACAAATGGTGCTGGCATAATTGAATATCAACACATAGAAAAATGAAAATAGATCCAGATCTATCACCATGTAGAAAACTCAAGTACAAATGGATCAAAGACATCAACATAAAGCCAGCCACACTAAACCTCATAGAAGAGAAAGTGGGAAATACATTTGAATGCATTGGCACAGGAGATCACTTCCTAAATATAAACCCAGTAGCACAGACACTGAGAGAAACAATTACTAAATGGGACCTCCTGAAACTAAAAAGCTTCTGTAAAATAAAGGACACAGTCAACAAGACAAAACGACAGCCTACAGAATGTGAAAAAATCTTCACCAACCCCACATCAGACAGAAGTCTGATTTCCAAAATATACAAAGAATGCAAGAAATTAGTCATCAAAAAAAAAAACAACCAAATAATCCAATAAAAAATGGAGTACAGATCTAAACAAAGAACTCTCAACAGAGGAATCTAAAATGTCTGAAAGACACTTAAGGAAATATTCAACATCCTTAGTCATCAGAGAAATGCAAATCAAAATAACCCTGAGATTCCATCTTACACCTGTAAGAATGGTCAAGATCAAAAACACTGATGACAACTTATGCTGGAGAGGTTGCGGGGAGAAGGAAACACTCCTGCATTGCTGGTGAGAATGTAAGCTGGTACAGTCCCTTTGGATATCTCTGTGGCGATTTCTCAGAAAATTAGGAAACACTTTTCCTCAAGACCTAGTAATGCCACTTTTGGGTATATATCCAAAGGATGCTCAATCGTGCTACAAGGACATGTGCTCAACTATGTTCACAGAAGCACTGTTTGTTATAGCCAGAACCTGGAAACAACCTATATGCTCCTCGACCAAAGAATGGATAAGGAAAATGTGGCACATTTACACAATGGGGTACTACACAGCAGAAAAAATAATAACATCTTGAAATTTGCAGGCAAATGGATAGAGCTAGAAAACATAATATTGAGAGAGGTAACCCAGACCCAGAAAGACAATTATCATATATACCCACTAATAAGTGGTCTTTCAACATAAAGCAAAGAAAACCAGCCTACAAATCACAATCCCAGAGAACTTAGACAACAATGAGGACCCTAAGAGAGACATACATGTATCAAATCAACATGGAAAGTAGAAAAAGACAAGATCTCCTGAGTAAATTGGGACCATGGGGACCATGGAAGAGGGTTGAAAGGGAGTGGAGGAGTAGGAAGGAGAGCAGAGAAAAATGTCAAGCTCAATAAAAATTAATTAAAAAATAATAAAAAAGAATATATGAGACCTCAAAGCCCACCTCTACAGTGACACATTTTTTCCCACAAGGCCACACCTCCTTATACTACCATCCTCTTTGGGGGCCATTTTCTTTCAAACCACCATAACCATCATATCAGAAATAATAATATCTGTAGCCACATTCTCACATAATACATCTTAATTCTTGCATAGCATTTACAAATTTTGGAAATTTTATGTTCAAATACAAGAAAATGATTTTTCCTTAAAATTATGTCTGCCTTAGGATAGAATTAAGAGTTTTCAAACACATATAAGCCCAATGGTGACACTTTCCCTGAACTACCTAGGAAACAAATTAACTGCAATGCTGATCTAAGTGCTTTTTAAAATTACTAGGTAGAACTAGTTTTGCAAAGATAAAAACATAATGCTAATTAAGTATGTTAACATTTTTCCCCATGACATAATTTCACAATTGAATTGCTTGGGTATTAATATCACAATGTTGTACAAAGTCATGCCTACATCTCTAGAGAACAAATTACTTAAAAGCCCTAATGTTAAAATAAAATGTTTAACAAGGGTTCAAAAGAAACATCTTGAGTCATACAAAAAGAAGTAACATTTGGAACTGTATGGAAAATTGTAACAGATACATGGAAAAGTCTTTCCAGCCAGCGACACCAAGACCCATGAATCAAAAGCAAATGTGGAGTGTTGCTTAGAGGGTGGGGAGGTGGCTCAGCTGGTAAAGCGCCTATCCACAGGGATTTGGATCCCTAGCACCCACATAAAACCCAGGCATGGTGGTGATGCCTACAGTCCTAGTGCTGAGGGCCCAAATAAAGGTGGATTCCTGGAACTCCCTCCCCAGCTAATCTTGCCAAAGTGGGAGCTCCAGTCTCAGTGAGAGACTCTGTCACAAAAAAATAAAATAAGGAAGAGCAATAGAGGAAGAAACCCCATTGACCTTCACATGGACCTGCCTACACACATGTACACATATGAAGAGTTGCATGTTAGCATTTCAGGAAATAGAAATAAAAAATAGTAAAGCTGCTGAGTAACATACCATCGAACACAGTGTACATCAGCGTGCATATAAAACTAAGTAAGTATCTTAATACTTGTGTGTTATTCATATCTATTAACTAAATATTTAAGTTTATTAAAGGGGCTTGAGGATCTCTGCAATAAGAAACTGGGGTGCTCCACCCATGTGAGGCTGTCTTGTCCTCTGGCTGTGGAGTGGATGCCCTGACTGCTTCCTGACCAGTGGTTGCCTCTGCTCATACACAGGCCTGCTGTGTGAGTAGAAACCCTGCCCTGCTCCCCATGGCTTCTCCAGCCTCTGTAATAATCTTTGTACATATGACTCCTAAGACAAATTTCTTGGAGGAATAAATTCAGGTAAAAATGCTTCTAATAATTTTCAGAAATAGTTATCTGAGATGTAAACAGAGTCGAATAAAACATATCCATCCACTAAATCCAAGACTTACAGAGGCCACGGCTGCTTCAAAGGATCACTTCGGTGCTAAGGTTAGAGACATCTACGACTATGCATGAACACAAGGAGAAGCTGCCTGTGAATCCTCAGTACTACATTTCCCATGATTTCCAGTAGTGTTCAAAGTGATGAAAGCTAGTGAAAATTTTTAACTCATAAGCAACCTTTCAACCCTTTCGCGTGACTGATTTTTTTGTATGAGCCATTGTCGTTCTGAAGCCCAACTTACCGACAAGTGAGGGCTGCACTGCCATCACAGGGGACTGAAAAGTCACACGGGCAGATGTCATTTCCAAATACATCAGAAGAGAGTGGTTGAGCTTGGCTCTTGGCACTGGCACATCGCAGTCACAGCCCCGAACACTGCAGTTGCACTGCGCGACCTGAAAACTGTCTCTCAAAGGGGCCCGGGACAAATCATCTGTGACTTCAGGCCTGCATTTAAATACAAGAGCAAAATGTGAGCCTGGGAGTGGGGGTACTGGACAGGGTTTTGAAAGCAGGACAGAGAATCCAGCTTAAAGACAGGCTGCATCAGAGAGAACAAGGATGAGAGGGCAAATGAACTGTCAATCAAGGTGGCATCAGCAAAGGGGCCACAGAGACACTAATAAGAAAGAAAAGCCACTGCTCTAAGACACCACCGCAGTGAAAATATCCTTAAACACAAATATGAAACAAAGGCTTCCTCAGGCATCCCTAAACTTAAAGAATTACCTTTAGATCTGTATTGTAGGAGTGCTAAAAAAAAAAAAAGGCTGTGAACACAAAAAAATAAAATAAGACTGAATCTGCAGTCACACAAAGGAATGAAATTTAACTCCAAGGATTTTTATTTATTGGATGATTAAAGTAAAAGTGTCAACCATGTATTTACAGGGTGTGACACAGACTAAAGTATGTGACATTATCAACCTAACTTGGGGGAGCTGGGAGTGTTCAACTGAAATGTCACATGGCGTCCAAAGTGGTATGAGGTCATCTAGATGCTAAGACATGTCCTAATTCAAAACCCACTAAAGTAATTAGTCAATAAGGAAGATTAAATGGAATCATAAAACATAACTTAAAAGAGGGCCTAGAGAGATGGCTCAGAAGTTAAGAGCACTGGCTGCTCTTTCAGGGGACCTGGGTTCAATCCCCAGCACTCACATGGCAGCTCACAACTCGCTGCAACTCCAGTTCCAGGGGATCCAATGCCCTCACACAGACTTATGTGTGGGTAACACACCAAAGTACACAAAATACAAATATATATATATATATATATGGTTTATAGGTTTATATATATACATATGTACACACATACACATATGTATGTATGTATGTATGTATGTATAACCTACAAGAATGGAGGAAAGTAGCCAGGCAGTGGTAGCACACACCTCTAACCCCAGCACACGGAGGCTGACATATCTGAGTCTGAGGTCAGCCTGGTCTACAGAGCAAGTTCAGGCAAATCAGAGCTATGTGGAGAAACCCTGTCTTTGAAAAAGAAAATGGAGAAAAGAAAAGGACAAGGAATAATGAGATGAGAAAATAAACAGAGGCTTGGGAATAGAGTTAGAGTCGTTAAATGCAAATAGCCTTCACTTAGAAGGCAGTCAGCAGCAAAGCGGGAAGAAAAAAAGACCCAATTACAAACCTCTCATAAGAAATCAATTTTAACATTAAAATGCGAATTTACTAACAGAGAGCATTAGAAAAAGATATGCTATCCCAAGACAAATCAAAATAAAGCTGAATGGCTACATTGACGTCAAGAAAGTTGAATTCAGGGCAATAATCATTTACCATGGAAAAGAAGATCATTCATAACAAAAAAAATTGTGGAGAGGGGTCACTAAAAGTGCATAATAAGTATTTATCTAATAACAGGCAAAAATAGGCTTAGTGATAGTTACTGGTGGAAAATTTAACCATTCTCTAATAATGAATGTAGCAAGCAGACAAAATGATTCGGGATTAAGAACTGAACAACGCTGTCAACCAACTTGATCCATGTAGTGGGACTGGTCCTCCACATGCCAGCCATAGTAAGTTCACCTTGCAGCAAGCCAATGTTTAACAATGCCAAATTGTACAAAACAAGCCATCCCTCACACAAAAGCAGCAGAATTTCTCATAGGGCAATGAGAAAGTAGACTCAAATATGTAACTTGTTGCTTATTTAGTTCTTATTTGCTTTCAAGTAAAGTTTATTCCTACATCTAAGAATTAAGCACAGTGTGAAGAAGAGGAGGAGGACGGGGACTGAGGAGATGTCTTGGTGGGTAAAGTGTTTGCTGCACAATCGCAGGGACCACATTTGAAACTCAACCCACTTAAAAGCTGGATGTCATTGTGAGCAGTACTCTGAGTGCAAAATGGAAGCAGAAGCAGGAGACTCCCCAGAAGCTCTCAAACTAGCTAGCCTGGTTTGTCAGCAACGAACAGGACACCCTGCCTCAAATCGTGGTGGGATGTGAGGCACGCACGCACACACACACACACACACACACACACACACACAGGTTGCTACAATCTGTTTAATTCTTAGATATATGAACAAACTTTACTTGAAAATAAACAATGATACAAGAACATTTGCCAGGTTGATTTGAAATCTGGCTTATTTACAAACCTTACCTTGTGCAAAATTTTCTAGGTAGAGACATAAGTATTTAGAACTCAAAATTTGTTGCTAACAGCCAAACATGTTTCATAGAAGGTACATTCGATCCTCTGACCATTGTACAATTATTTTTTCTTCCCAGGAAATTTCTCTGTAAAATTGCTAGCATTCTCTAAGCCAGTTCTATGCTAAACTGGTATGAAATACCACCAAAGTGGGGTACCTGAGGTCTTAATTTAGGAAAGATGACAGCCAACCCCAGTTTATAGCTCTTGAAGAGTAACTTCACCCGCATTAGCTTTGCAAATTGACTATTTGAAGGTTCATGCCATGAACCGAAAAAAATGGCACCACAAGCAGGCCGGTAGTGGTGCACACTACCCAAGTCCCAGCACTTGGGAGGCAGAGGCAAGCGGATCTCTGTGAGTTTGAGGCCATTCTGGTCTACAGAGTGAGTTCTAGTACGGCCAGGTCTACACAGAGAAACCCTGTCTAAATAACAACAAAAAATTATATATAATATGTACATATATATATTCATATTCCATTAATTATCTAGATTACAGTTCCTAGCAATCAATTTTCTCTTCTCCAAGTTTTTCTTATCCAGCACCATGAGGAGGCTGATATTCAGCTCAGGAGTCCACACTGACCATGTCCTGTGTTCAAGCACTTTACCCATAGATATGAGTCCCCTTACATCCTCTGCATCCCTCTCTGTCGCCTCAATTCAGCGAAATCGCCAGTTGCTGCCCAAATTCAAAGCCCTGTGCTGCATTCTGGAAACTTCTCCCACCATAGACAGCTCGGGCAATTCAGAACCTGCCTTGATTCCTTCCACTGTATAAGTGGCTGCCCCCGTGCAATAAAGTAGACGATGTTCCCTGAAGTCCTCTCCTGAGTGGTTCATCTCTGCGCCCTCTACCAACCCATTGGTGTTGCCTTCTCAGCTGGGAACACCCCGGTAATGATAACAATGCCCCATAGCTCAAAACAAAAACATGCATATGCCCAAGTCTGGTAGACAGTTGGCTATATCATTTGAAAGACGGAGCTAGTCAAAGAACCCTCAGTAAATATTCGCTGTTCGTCAACATCTCCAAGTTGGAAAACAAACAAACAAAAGCAAAACAAAAAAAACCCTCATCCCTGACCCTGATAGATGGCACCTGTCATCAACCTGATGGCCTGAGTTTGATTTCCGGGACCCATGTGGTGGAAAAAGAGAACTGACCCCTGCAAGTTCTCTGGCCATGGCTCTACTGTGACACACGTACCCACACATACCCACACATGTGTATACACATACACAAAAATAAATTAATGTAAAGATAGGTTTGAACTACCCCAAGTCCCTCCCATGTATGAGATCAGCTAGCTTCTCACCAGCACGTGCTTGATTTTCTAAATAGTTCCTCATCTTAGGAAGCAGTTTGCTTGCTGGCCCTCTGCATCTGCTTTAACAATGAGAGCAACACCACAGCCAAAGAGACCACCCTCCCTGGCCAACACAGTAGAACATGGTGAAGGTTCTCACAGTTTGCTTTTGTAAGAGAAAAGATAACAAAGAAAAGAGCCATTAAACAAAAGGAATCAGTGTTTCCAGGGAAACTGAGGTTTCCCTCTAGGTTCTGAGCCTGTTAATAAAACATCCCAATGGAGACTCAGAAGGAAGCTGGAGGATAATTTTGGTGGAATTTGAGAGAAAAGCACCGGGGCAGGAAAGCTGCACACCTCAGGGCTTGCCAGGAGGGGTGAGATAAAAAAGAGGAAGCGAGAGAGGCAAGCATTTGGAGGTCAACAAGTAGCTGCAAGGTAAACTACAGAGGAGAACTTCAGAGAAAAAAAATGGGAAAACCCAGAATGCCAGGAAGAGCATGTTTAGGATTTGGCCAGTATCCAAAATAGAAAGAAAAAAGGAGTTATGATTTTTCTGAGTAACTCAGAATAGTGAATAGGCAGTGGCTGCATAAACCATTAGTCCGCCCCTTGCCTCAGCAAGTCTTTCCATGAATCAATTTCTGACAAGGTGTGAATGAGTAAAGAATAGGTTACTGGCCCCATGGCAGACAGGACAACAAGATTATTTATTCTTCTTTGAAGAAGGTCATTTAAAAGGTCAGGTCTCACCCCAGGGCAAGAGGTAGAACTTCAGTTTTGTTCTTCTGACCAGGAGGAAGAAGTTTTGCCTTAGTGGGCCTCCATGGAGCCTAGATACCTTCACTTTTCAATAAAGCAATTTAAATGCTAAGGAGGGCCTTCCCTTTCTTATGTTAGCAGAGGAACAGGAGGTAGGGCCCAAAGTCCATGAGGGAAAGATCCATCCTCGTTGTCCTACCAGCTAACAAAAATCTGTCTAACTACTAGGACATGGGAATTATGTAGAATCTAATCTCTCCAGAAATAAGTTAAAGTCAAGAAATGCCATCTGAGGAAAAAAAAAACCAGAAGGGAGAACGGCTTATCTGCTTTTAGAATAAATCTGAAAACTGTGGTAGGGTCAGTGAGGTGGGGAAAGCCTAGTGACTCTGGGTAACTTTCCTTGAAAAATCTTGTCTGCTTCTCCCTAGTGAAACAACATCCAGAGCCTCCTCACCAGCCCTGTGGGTAATCTGGGGTCAGGCACTTCCTGGTAGAGAGGGAGATAATGAAGACTGACTTATATCAATATTGGACACAAACACAGAGAGGTCTGACTATGTCCAGTGAAGCGATCTGCCAGGGCGAAACTCGGGAAAAGACGCGGGTGTTATTCCTTTGCGGTGCCTTTAAGGACTAACCACGCCCACTCCCCAGCCACTTCTCACCTCCTGGTCGCCAT